TTATTAATGAATATTGGCACATATTTTATATTAAATAAATAGTATATATTATTTTTCAATATTCAATGCTTTATAATTCTTTATGATTTTATATTCAACATGCACTCGACCATTTAACTAATTAGTTCATCCTGCTATTGTGTTAAGCGGGGCTAGTTTAAGTCTTATATATTTCAAAATGCTCTATGACAGGCAATCTTGATAGCACTTTTGAGTTATGACCATGTTAAAAACCTCATAACAAATACGAAATTTAATTTGCATATATTAAAGAAGATGAAATGATTTCGTTTTTAAACTAACGAAAATGAAACCTTTTATGTAAATAAAAAAAAAATACAAAATACATACAATAACAAAATTAATTAATTTAAAAATTTAAAAAAACAACAAAATACAAAAGACGAAAATAACAAAACATTAAAAATTAGCAATTCATTACAGGCAAATTAAGTTAAATTTTTATGGACTTTAAATGGCTTTGTTAACACGTAAAAACATAAATTTTTTGTCTAAATATCATCAAAACTGAAAATGGTAGTTAATAACCATAAAAATTGATTTGATTTAGTTAACGTGTAGTCCAAATGCACTCAGGTCTCTCATATCACACTTATGTTATATAGAAATCGCTTAATATAATAATATTAATTATTAAGTTATTAACAGTTGCTAATTAAAATTATTTAGATATAATTATAACTAATAATAAACCAAGCAATAATTAATTGCTATTTTACGAGCTATGCAGCATATGCTATTAGGCATAGATAAGTTAATATAAATTCAATTAGGTAATAGGTAATCTTTATCGTAATTTCCCTAATATGTATAGTGTCTTATAACAAAAATTGATTTTAATTAAAATTCATAAAAATTTTTATTTTTCATTTTATTTTTATTTTCATCAAATTTTTTACAATTTAATTAATTTAATTAATTTTAACAAAACTCCAGAAAAATATGCGAACAAAAAAGTCAAGTACAGCTTTGGATCAGTTGGTTTAGGTGCGCTGATTCTGAGCTTCACATTTGGCAGGACCCAAGTTCGAATCCTGGTACTTGCAGTCTTAAAAATAATTATTTACGAATAATTAAATACAAGAATTATTTCCAAGACCACTGATGATGGGTATTTAGCAATACTCGAAACAGTTGTATGGTCAGCCAAAAATTCAATTAATTAAAATAATATAAAAATGAATTTTTGTTGCTGTAGTTCACTACTGTTCGAAAAAACCTCTTTATTAATTTTTTTATAAATGAATTATAAGATTAAGACTTTCTACTATGGAATTCTAAAAGATAATATAGCGGGAAGGAATGCCAAATATAGATATCCCAGTAATAATCTCAAAAATGTTTCAACTGTTTCTTCGTCTCAATTGAAATGAGTAATAGATAACTGTTTCGTCCTCAGAAATAAGTGTTTTAGAAATATGCTTATATTGCATAGAAGCATAATAAATTATTGCTTTAAAACCGTAAAAGTTCCTTTTAGCTTCTATAGGTCACACTTACTATAGCTTTTTCATATTTAATTCTGAGAAAGTGAATTTACTATCTAGACAATCAATAACTTCGCACACTGTTACTCAACAATAAGTCAGAAAAATATGCTAATATTTCGTTAAATTTTCTAGCATATTATACAGAGTCTAGCTTCCCGAAGGAGATATATCACAAGTAGATGTCAGATTATGTTAATATAAAAAAAATTGCAAAATTTTAAATTAATTAAAACTTAAAATATATATCACACATATTGTGTATATACTTATATTGTGAATATCTGAACATTTTTATAGCAAAATTAAAATTTTTTAAGTTTTTAATTTATAACATTAATAAATTTTATTACCTGAAAGAATAATCTAACCCGTAAAAAAAAAAATGTGTGAGAAATTTTTTATTGTTTTACTGCTAAATTTGAAAGACCTTGACCAATGAATAGTAAATATTAAATAGCTCAGCAAAGTCTATGAATACGCATAAATCAAAATTAAGATATTTTAATAGATTTCTGTTATTCCCCGACCACATCTTCTGTTTACTTTAATTTACATATTATGCTACCAATTTTGTTTTTCTCGAGTGTAGACGAAATGTTTCACAATTTTATTTAAATAACATAATTTCAAATGTCTACTATTCACAGGTAGGAAAAAATATTTGTATCTACTCGAGTATGTGAACGACTTTTTTTTTTGAAATGAGTCAAGAATTTCCATACTGCAAGTAGTTTCAGTAGTCGATACTTGACAGAATATGGTAATTGTTTATTATTGCCTCTTTAGAATGTGTTGATCATCTTGGTCAACAAACAAGCAAGCCTATGAGTGTTAAAACATACAAAATACTTCTGGTTAACTCAATTATGTTTGTAAAATTGGAAATTTTTCATATGCAAATTAAAGTCAAAATAAATGCATATCATTCCCATGAAAAAATTCTCACTTGCTTTAATGAGAATATATAGAACATATATTTATATGTAAGATGTTCTTTTTACTTAATGCTACAGTATAGAATTGTACATGATATATTGTAATTAAAAATTAGGTTAAAATAAACTGTAAGATCCTGTAAAGGCAAGAAAATATTTCATACTAGTGAAATTATGCTACAAAATTACATAAAACTGACGGTTAGATTACCTATTCTATTCTATTCTATTCTATTCTATTCTATTCTATTCTATTCTATTCTATTCTATTCTATTCTATTCTATTCTATTCTATTCTATTCTATTCTATTCTATTCTATTCTATTCTATTCTATTCTATTCTATTCTATTCTATTCTATTCTATTCTATTTATTCTATTCTATTATATTCTATTATATTCTATTATATTCTATTACATTCTATTATATTCTATTCTATTATATTCTATTTTATTTTATTTTATTTTCTTTTATTATATTTTATTCTATTTTATTTTATTTTTTTTATTTTTTTCTATTCTTTTCTTTTATATTCTATTCTATTCTATTCTATTCTATTCTATTCTATTTTATTCTATTCTATTCTTTCTATTCTATTCTATTCTATTTTATTCTATTCTATTTTATTTTATTCTATTCTATTCTATTCTATTCTATTCTATTCTATTCTATTCTATTCTATTCTATTCTATTCTATTCTATTCTATTCTATTCTATTCTATTCTATTCATTTTATTCTATTCTATTTTATTCTATTCTATTACTATTCTATTCTATTCTATTCTATTCTATTCTATTCTATTCTATTCTATTCTATTCTATTCTATTCTATTCTATTCTATTCGATTCTATTCTATTCTATTCTATTCTATTCTATTCTATTCTATTCTATTCTATTCTATTCTATTCTATTCTATTCTATTCTATTCTATTCTATTCTATTCATTATACCATTTATACAATTACTTATCAAAATTATTATTATCAATTATTATCAATATATTATTATTATAAAAGTATATATCTAACGATTGTTCACACTACCGATAGTTAAAAAATTTCGAAAAATTTGTCTCTGATACTATTAAATATGTTTATAGGGATATTACTAAAAACACAGTAGGGTTAATCGACAATGAGATCAAGTGGCTTCATTTGATGAAGTCTTCGAAACAGTCCAATGATATTGGAAAAGCTTAATAAGACAAAATATGAAATAAAAAAGTAGATCAAATTCTCTACTACCATATTTCTTTCTATTGTCGAAAAAAAAACACTTTGTCCTTCTTTTGTCTTAAATCTCTTAGTTTCAGTATACGAAGATAATTGCAAAAGTGTGAATGTCTTCACACCTTTTCAACTATTATTTTTAAAAACAAGTAAGATCAAAACAATTTTACAACTTATTTACCATTTCATAAATAAAGTATTTCGAATGACTGCATTTATGTTCAAAAATTACCCACAGTTCTTATTACAACCTAAGAATGGAAAATATTCAAACATTTTAATATGACATTGAATTAGTGTAACCAAATCCGCTTACCTCCTTGATTCTCTTTTACAACCATCGAGCATTCCATTTAGACATTGCCACATATAACACAACTCTTACAAAAAGCATTAATTATCTTAACTGACAAAAAATTGATGTGAACGAAATCGAATATGTTACAGTCTTAACTGCAAGATTAAAGTACCACAAGAAATGCAACTCAAATTTCATCCAAAGGGTTTTTTTTTCTCTCAGTTTGCGATCGACGATTACACAAGCATAATTTGTTTATCATCACAGAATAGCAGACAGAAAAAAAATATCAAAAAGAATAATACGAATATATTTGTAAAATGATTTTAACTAATGACGTCACAAGTGACATGTAATCTTTTTTATTTCAAAAAGTTTATAGGGTGTTTAAGCTGTCAGGTGTCTAATTCACATGTCAATGTCATTAGGAAAAATGAGTTTAACTGCTCAACGGATATAAAGTTACATCTATGAATATTTAATATCAGACCTCTAATAATTTAGTAATCTTAGCTGCATTTGTTACGGCTTTCGTGGAATAGAAATAAAAGAAAATATTTTTTTTTAAATGTGTTGTAATTTTAATAGACAATATTCAATATCAGAATAGGAAATTAAAATAAATTGTAATTTTAGTTAAAAATATAAAAAACTATAAAAATATATATTTTTTTATGAGAGGAAACAGCTTGTTTTAATAAATTTAATTATGTCTATTAGAAGAGAGTAAGATATATTGACTGCATCATTTTAAATTAGATAAGCCGAAGTCATTAAAAGCAAATGAAAACTACCTACTTTTAGTAATATAAGTAATATATATAAGTAATATAAATATATATATATATATATATATATAGGTATATATAGGAAGTGACTTTTTTTTAATAAATTATTTCATAATAATTTAATTGACAAGTTAAAAATAAGACAGTAAATAAAATCATTTCATACTTTATTGCAAGTAATAAATTGATAATGATGAGTATAACTTTCAAAGTTTAAAATAAATTTTAAATTCAGCTTAAAGTAACGAAAGAATTTGTTACGTAATACTTGAAACCACAGGCTACCGATTTAGATATTCGATGTTAAAAAAGGAGTTCAACTAGCAGTTCCTAGAACAGTTTTTGTTATTGAGTTACAAAGATATATGTCCAAATGACATTAAAATATGCAAAAGTTTCCGTTCACATTGCATACGTTAATTCATTTATTTGCATAATGAATAAATTGATATTTACCACAACAAAGAGAGCAGCATTGAGTTCGAACTTTTACAAGCACAAACCCTTTATTCCAAGGATGTACCATCTTCGAGACTGGAATTGTGTCATAGCACATTTGTCTACAGGCGCCTGTTTGAAATGTCTACATATTTCTCGCTCGTGCAAGAAGAACTGTCCTAACCTAATGGGCTGTAGCCATCTTACAGTTTATTCAGTCCAGATATGTCCAGATCTCCAATCACTGGTTAAGTGCAATAGACACATTTATCTATTTTATATATAACACACGTCCCACTTGTGCAATAAAAACTGTCCTAACCCTATCGAAGTGTCAATGCAGCCATCTAACAATTAATCGGGCGATCAAAGACCGTAAAACTTCATTTTTTACATTTAAATCTGTTTGTTAAAACATTTCCTTGATATATAAAACTAATATTTTTAAAATGCAGTTTAATTATTAAAAACTTGATATAAAAATATGATTAATGTTTCCTTAACAATTCTTAACAAACTAACTAAAAAATAGGTTACTTACGTTTTGTAATAAATACCAAACTTCCGCAAATATTTATTTTATTTCCCTTAATTTATATATTAATCCGTTTAAAATTTGAGTTTTTTTTCATTTACTTCCAACGGTGGAACCTATGGAAAAACATATTTGTTATTGTCATACAAACACACAAACACAATAAGAAATAATTCGATTACTTGTTGATGTAAAAAAATCCTACTTCAATATTATCCTTTTGTAGAATATTGATAAAACATCACTGAATCGTTTGTTAATAATATATTTATTTAATTAGAAGCAAATTCTTGCGAATTTGTTTGCGAAATTATTGTTTTGCTTAGTACGGCGACGTTTTGCGCCACTACGAGCTGATGTTATTCACCAATGTTGTTGGAGCCAATTTTATTCACCTATAAGAAAGGCAGAAAAACTGAAGTTGAGTTTCTTAAGCACATACTAAATCTCATTCGTTTTTAAAAATATTAATAATAGTAGATTTGATAGCGCACGAATAAACCAAATATTAAAAAATTTATAAAAAATATATATATTTGATAAAATAATTATCTAATCATAATCTCAAAATATCACTATAGTGGCTCTTAGATCACAAAATATTAAACTCACCATCCTCATCGCAATAATGACAGGAACTACATTAGCACTTTTCTGCCTGTCAAATGAATTCTAATAGGAAATTATGAGTCACCACTCAAATACAACTTTTAACTTAAAAGTTTACTAATTGCCTATTAAATGTTTTTATCATTTATTATAAAATGTAACTTTATACATCAATATTTACTAGAATGTTTTGACAACACTTATATCGCATAGCATTAGTAAAACGGTAAAATAAAATATTTGAAATTCCTACCACCAAAATTTTAATGCCATCGATCAATTCTATCATTTCAATTATACGTAATTTAAACAAAATTAAAATCAAAACTATATTATCGTTATTAAAAAATGATAAAAACAAAAACAAAATAAAAAGACATTTTTACAACAAACCTGCTGAAACCGCACCTTATAAATGATCTTAAATTGTCTGGTGAAAATAATTTCCAAATCATCAATTCCTTTTGAACATCAAAAACGAAAAAAATACAATACATACATATATATTCAACATACCACAAAAAGAAGTCAAAATTTTTTTGTCACAATGAAATAACCCTTTCATATGTGTAGCTGTTGTTGTTTCTTTTGTTTTTATAATTTTAATGTATACAATGTTTAAAATGTCACTTATGTCACATGCCCTGTCACATTTTGATAAATTATGCTCATTTGTCAAAAAAGGTAATACAGCCGTTATGTGGTGTGTGTGGATTATTTATTTACAACAAAAAAATTGCCCACAATTGTACAAAATTGATGAATTTAACAAAGATTTTATTTACAATTTTTAATGTATACAAAATTTTTTTTTTGTATATAATTCAATCTTAAGGTGAAATGCAATTTTTATAATACTGTTAAAAGGAATTCGTTTTCTTTTTAATTAAAATTTTATTTTTGGTGAAATTAAACTTATATGAAGTAGTAATAACCAACGATTATTTTTCAGTAATTCATTACTAAGCTCAATTTCTTATTTATAAATAACTTTAACATATTTTATTTTATTTTATTTATTTTGTTAAATTCATTGACCTATAAATCGCTACCGAGCCATTTGCACCGCTCATACAAGGGTTTACACAGGCGGTGGAGGTGTTATTTATTAAAATTAAGAAACCATTAAAGTTAATGCAAAACATTTATCTGACGGATGATTTTAATGCGAGAGCTTATAAACACTGTCATTATCGTGGTGTACATGGAGTTATTACTTTTGGCGGTAACGTTAAGAACTTCACCGCCAAAATTAAACTAAAAATGCATTTGGGAGAATGTGTACCTCTCAAGATAAATTACGCATCTTATGCTTTATTACGTCTTAATTTTCACTTTAGTAATTTATAACAAAAATATATAATATATATATTTCATATACCCGTATACATCAAAAAAATACACTGCGAGCATTGATGGAGGACAATATTTCTTTTTTGTTATTTTATTCTTTTTTTTGTATTTTTTATTGCATTTAGGAATTTCGCACTTTTAATGTTCCATGCAGTAGGTCAACACCTATGGGCAAGTCGAAATCAACCACACAACTTATACTCCTCATTTTTGGTTCTACCAATCGATTTATGCATTATTTTGTAATTTTTATTCTTTACTATATTTTTGGAAATTAATTTCTTTATAATGCGTGGGGGAATTTATACACTTTAATAATTTCTTAATCTTTTACTTTTTCTTGTAATTTTAAGCAATTCTATATATGTATATATGTTTTTGTGCAACGTTGATGTTGAACTTGGCCGCATGTTGGGCTGCACCCAAAAGTTATCAGTTTTTGCAAATAATTTGTTAAAGGTGGTCGCCAACACAGTGGAGCAAAATTATTTTTCAATCATTTATTTATAGTTTATTTAAATACAAATATTAATGTTCAGTTATTCAATTAATTATACTTTATTTAAATACAAATATACATATATGACCAATAAATAATTAATTGACCTTAACCAAAGATTCGTCAAATTTCGATTATATGTCGAGAATTATTCTTTAATAGCCCAACACGTAATTTTCCTTTTGAATCACTGGGTTCCAATGCTTTGGGTAAGATTGCTTGCAAGTGAATTTTGGTAACACAAATTAATGTGTATTTTTTTATATAAAAAAATAAAAAACAATTAATATTATAACCGTTTGCGAGTTCGAGTAAATTGAGATAAAGTAAATTGAAATTTCCTAGGAGTTTTTTGCACTACACTTATGTATATATATACTTATTGCACTTATTTATTAATTTTCTTTAAAAGTTTTCAAATTCATTTATTTACTTATTAAGCGTATTATAAAATTTCACAATGGTAACACCTAATTTACCTAGTTTTTATCTAATTTACTGTATTCGAAATTTTGATCAATACCAACATTCGCCGCCATACCGACATAATTTACTATTTCTTTCAATTTACCATTAATTTATTCGAACTCGCACACGGTCTATATATATATTTGAACGGATTTATTGGTCAATGTTAAATAATACACAACTTTTCAAGATAGTTTAAAAAAATTTCTTCACTGAAAACGGCTATAGTATATAGTCAAAAAATCGGTAACAAATTATTTTTAAAAATTATATTTTATTTTCACCAATATTTGGACTATTATCTATATTCATCCTTAATAATATTTTTATTTGACATATTTTTATGATATAGAAATAATTATATACAAAAATAACAATAATGTTATTGTATTTTATAACTATTTCATTCCCGCTTGTTTTGAATTGTTGTGGCATATTATAAAAATATTTTATCAGTACTCTGTAGATAATTACAAAAGTATAGTAAAACAATTGGTCGAAACAAAATACAATATATAAAAAACTCTAAAAAATTGTGAATTATTTGAACAATTCGCCATATAACCCATATCAAATATATAAATAATTAATGTTACTATAATTAGAAAGTTGCTTTTGTAAAATTAAATTGAATGCACCCATTATTACTATGGTCACTTTTTAGCACAGATGACAGTGTGTGGTGAATATTCGCAATTTACCACACCTCCTTCACTTTTGTTTACTTATGACTCGTTAGAATTGTTATGAAATTATATAATTCATAAAAAAGTTATTTAAATAATTTAATTATTATTTATTTTAAAAAAGTCTCAGTTTAAGTGCAGTAAAATGCAGTGCCTGCTATAAATGTTAACTGGCATAAGACAGCACGTAACAATTTTACAGATTTCTCTGCACGGTAATGCCGCAGGTCTACACAGGTCACATTTGTGTTCTGCTTGAAATTTGTTAATTATTAATTAATTTTATATTCATTCCACAGTGCCAAAATATAAATTTATTCAACACTTTCAAATTTACCGCTAAAGTTTTTATTTTTTATTAATTAAAAAAAAAGCAGATTGCGCTTGCGTTGCACACTGCCAGTTGCTCCCTGCGCATGGAAACAGTTCAAGGTGTAACCAACAAATTTTGCAGATACATTTGCCCAACAAGTTTGTTGTTGTGTTTATTTTTTCATTCGCAGGCAGCTATAGAGACATCCGCATACTTACGGATATATGCCGTTTTGTGTAACTAACAACAACCACAACAACAGCAACAACAAAAAGCACAAAGGAATATGAATGCAGTTTATTTTAACATGTATTGCCGTGTTATAACAGGTAAGTGAATGAGATATTAGTGAAGAACATGTCATAAAGGAGTGTAATTTCAGGCTGCAGGCTATATATAAGCCACATCAGTATAACAACAACACAGCACTAGCGTACAAATAATGAAAATCTCAACATTTAACATAAACGATGAACCCAAAACAATAATAAACTGACTGGGTGTGAATGTTTTGAATGGATTTGGAGATACACACAATCCAACAACACAAAACATAAACATTTCTCTATTTCGATATATCTTAACATAATTTCTACTATGCTAATTTGTTACAAAGTAATACGGTGAGTCGGTAAGGTATCTTCCAAGTTTGATTCTTATTTATTTTTTAATAACTAAGTGAATGTATATATAAGTATATAAAAATAACTTTTGAATAGGCTTAGACTTTAAGTATATGCGACAGTAGTTAATTTTACAACTTAGTATGCAACTAATCCAAGAAAGTGATGAGTTATGATTTAAATCAGCTTTTATAGACTTCAACGCTTTATTACTAATGTATCATTTAGGCATTATAAAAGAAATCAAAATTTTAATCATTTTATATTATCAAACAGTTTTTAAAATATTATTTATGTACCATAAAATTTTAATCCGAAGAAATATATATTTGTATGCATATGTTTAGATATAGTAATCTTATACAACACATTTGTATATGTTTATAAGCCTTTATTTATGTAACTTGTTAAAATTAATTTCATTAAAAGTGAAAGCAAAATGTTTTTACTTGGTTAGGAAAACTCACTTGAGTCAAATAATTGTCCGTTGTGATACCATGATTGAGACGCGGTATGTACGCTAGATCTAAAAAACTACTTTAAAGGTAGAATTTCAAAACATTTAGAATTGTAGCTCATTAAAAACATATGACTCTTTCAATCAAGTATAAGCAATCCAATATCATATATTTATAAACTTAACTATATCTCTAAATGAAAAAGATAGCAGTTATGTCACATTAATTATAAATAGAACTTCAAAGATTTTGAATCAAAATACTTTAAAAGTACATTAAAGAGACATGGCACTTTCATTCAAGTATAAACAAACCAATATCATAAGTCTATAAATTTAACTATATCTCTAATTTGAAACGATGGCATTTCTGTTATATGATTTAAAAATGAAACTTCAAGGATTTTTAATTTTCTCCTAATCAGTGATGGCTAGTAAGATATGAGATAGATTACAGCTTGCTCTTTTTCTTTAGAGATACAGCCAGTCAAAGCATGACTTTCGCATATGCAGTGTACTGTCAGCACTAATACCGTAGTACTAGTACGGGTGCAAACGTGCTATTGTGACCTATATACCTTCGCTATGGATCTCACAACTCTGCGAGACGCAATGAAATAACATCTAATTAAAATACGGTTCTACAGATTGCGACAATCGCATGTTGATCGCCTTTATGCAAAATCCAAATTGCTTCTTATATAACAGCATAGGCAACTGTTGTCTAAGCAATACCTTCTTGCGTGTCACACATATGAACACTCCAACAACATCGTGTGTGGTAGAGCCTTACCTATCAGATGCATTCGTTGATCTCTTTCTGGCTTAACCATAGCAATATCATAGTGAATCCAATTTGTCTCAGAAACTGTTAATGTTCTTACTTCTCTTAAAGCCTACCATAACTGCGCATTTTATTGAACACATTCTTCAGATGTTCTGTTCTGTATTCTGTATTCTGTTTTTTATCACTACGAGTCCCTGTATGTGCCATCTTACTTCCAATTCAGTAGACTAGTCACCTATATTGATTTTCCTTTTTAGTTTTTGTTAGCTTTTAGTGGTAACCTTGCTTTCTTTAGAGTTTGCTTTTTTTCAGTGTTAGTTGTTCTAATATATATCTTTTTTAATATGTTTAGCAGCAATCCGATGGCTTAATCGTTGATCGATGGCACATATCTACTGTGTACTATGTGAATTTATTTTTACTAAAAATTTAAACTTTCTTTATATACATATGCATATCAGTATATGTTAATGTCATTTTAAAAAAATTTTTTTTTTATGTATAACTAAAAATATGTTTTACAATACAATAGCAAAATTCAAAATTAGTTTTTAGACAATATCCTTTGGAGACTTTTTGCCAAAATTTTATTTTAAAATTGAATAAAAATTTTGGAACTCCTTGGAATTGTCAGAATTTGTATATGAAGTCATGTTTCTTATAGGAAGAAACGTTAAAACTTTAATACAGTCATTGCAACCAACTGTAAAGATTGCATATTATAATACCAAATGTCCGCGACAAAAAGCTAAGGAAGAAAAAGAGGAAGCAATTAAGTCTAATACCAGTCCTTTCATAACGATAATAAGTCCGATGGGGTGCTGTGCGTCATTTTATGAACATTGGCCGAGACTTGATATCGTTCATCATAAAGCTATATATCATACGCCAAGAAGACCTATTCAACAAACGTGGGCAGTATGTGGACGAAAACCAAAACCGCATAAAAATATTTGTGCACATGACGAAATATATTATCCACCCAAGTATAAACGTGAATGCAGGGAACGTAGAGTAGACTTAGCTTGTGAACAAAATAGAGCAAATTTTATGTCTTGTAAAAGGGGAAATAAGATCAATCACAAATGCCTTAAAATCTCTTCACCTGGTTGTTGTAGTTCCAGAAAACCACCGAAATGTACTAGAGGTCTACCACCAAGTAATTGTGGAAAGGTTCAATGTCCTTTTCCCAGTTTTTCTGAATGTTCCTTAAAGACAAAACCAAATAGAAAGAAGTATGCTGAATGCGGTTGTGTTTACATAAATCCCTCTTGCCAAATTAATAAATATAAGAAATAAGACACAAAACCCGTGATAGTTCTAATATAAAAAGGTATTAATAAAGTTGATAAGATTTTAGTTGTGAAGTTCGTAATAATGGATTTGTATATACTTTTAGGCAACTAAACTTGCTCAACAGGTGACAAGGAGTGTCTAACATTCGAAATGATGACAATCTTTACGATGAACGCTGTCTGTATCAAATTCTTTTCTATTTATTGAAACTTTTTCGAATGTAAATCAATGACTGTGTTAAGTAACGCCTAAGGATGATTGTTCTTACTTGTATATAATGTATGACAAATAGGAAAAAATTGTAAAGTCAATAAGTTTCACTTATAGATTTCAATTTTTGAAACACTAAGTGCTAAGAACCAGCACTAAAAGTTCCAAAATTTTTATTTTTATAAATGTAACATTATTTAGATAGTTTCTTCAAAGTAAAAATAAAATTTTGGCAAATACTTTAATAATTTATATATATTTAATGTTTTATTTAGGTATTTTATACAATAGTAGGATTCAATAATATATTCTGGAAAATTTTGACAACGTAACGATATTATTATTTGAATAAATTTTGTTAAAAACGTTGTTGTAGAAAAAAAAAAGAAGAATTTTGTCTACATCTAAATATCACGAGCAATATAATGTAAGCCTTTTTTAGGCCAAATACAGTTAAATTTTCATAACTCGAAGTACCATTTTGCAAAGAAAAGGTTCCACTTATGTCTATAATTTGCTCTCTAAACGCTGTTGCACTCTATTTAGTTCGAGTTGTAGAAAATTTGAATTATAGAAGTTTGTGTTATGGAAGTTGATACGCTAATTAACCCCGCCCTAACAATCCTCAAGTCCACTTCTGGACTCTCAGGAAGATATGCTGATTTAAGGTCTGTCATCAACTAAAAGACAAATAAATGATATGTTTTTTTTTAGCCTAGTTAAAGCCCCAGCCATTATAGAGTAAAAGTGCGTAATAGCATTAACTCAAGAAGAATCAAAAATCAAGTTATGGAAGTTTGACTGTAAAAAAAAAAATATATATTATTTTTACAAAATGTGCTTTAAAAAAAATCCATTTTTTGCGCATGTATTACCGATAGTTATAGCAAAATATCCTTTTTATAAGACAGTACTGAGCTCAGAGACAGTTTCTATATGGTATCAAGAGGCTGTATATATGATACTTTATTTAGTTGAATATACTGAGTTTATACTGAGTATAATATAGACGATAAAAAAAAGAGGAGGACGTTTATGCATTTTTAATAATAATAACTTCGGAATAATCGGAATCCTAATGATGACTCTCAAGAAGAATCGAAATATAGAGTTGAATAAAAAATATTAAAGTTTTATTATTTAACAAGAAGAGACCTACAACCAGAATAAAAATGTATAAAAAAAAACAAATTAATAAACAGGTCGAAAAATAAATTTAAAAAAAATTGTACAATAATCCTTTTCTTTATTTTTTTATTGTATACTTGAAAGTTACATTGGTGTTCTGATCCATTCATCTCAATCTCGAGTTTAGGTTCTCTTACATCCTACGCTTATGTCTTTTGTATTCTTGTCAATCCATTTTCTATCTTAGTTTTATGCGGCCTAACCTCGACACATTGCCCCAACATGATGTATTTTGGGGGATATTTTAACAGCATTAATTATGTGATCTACCCACATGCATTTATGGGTTCTTATACTAGTAAATAGATTTAAGTGCTAATGGTTACATCGTTGTCTTGTAAAATATACTATGAATAGTCAATTTTGCATATTTTACTAAGCGGAAATCTCACGCTAGAATATATACCTATAACATTATACCTATAACATTATACCTATAACATTCTGAATTTAAGAGATTATAGCTTAAAGGCATTGTGTTTATTTGACCATTTCTGGAGAAAAAAGTTTCGATCGAAGTATATTTGTTACTAGGTGCTTATAATAGTTCACTAATAGTTCTAAGTTTTGGATCATAACACTTATCCACTTTCTTTAAGCAAGCAAGCAAGAAAAATGTTGCAGTTATCATAGATTTGAAATATTAGCTTAAATAGTATTATTGCAACATGTTATACTGCTTCGGAATGATTGGGTTTCACAGTGTCATTGTACCTTTTTTTTTAAATCACTATTAGATCTGCAGTTTAATTTTAAAGTTTCATTGTTCGTAAGAAAGACAAATCAAGCAGAGAGAGTTCCTGAAAATAGAGGACACACTGGATTAAAGCAATATACAATACATTTAGACACGTTATACCAGCGTTTAAGGTCTTAGGTCAATATAGAAAACCATGGTATAAGCGTAATTCATATGTTTGCGCGATGTGAACTTATACGGTCCGATTAATTTTAAATTTTGGATGTCAAAAAATTGAGTTGAAATGTCAAAACTTGAAAAAAAAATTTTTTTTTAGTAATAATTATACATTAAGACAACCAGTTTACTAGAATTCATTTTTTTAGAGAGAAACTCATTCAAATGATTTTTGCACAAACAATTTCTGCATAGAGAATGTACTGTGGATTATTACCGACAGTGGATCGAGCTTTATGTGCATATATCATAATTTTTACTTAATTGAAACTTGGTTATTTTGATTGGCAATCGAGTTATCGTTGTTTTACAAGCATTTTATACTGTTTAAGAAAACAGAATATATTTTCATAAAATTTTTTTTTGTTTCAATCCTGTTTCACATTTTCGATCCTAAGAAATTTACAATAGCATAAAAAAAAAACACCTGAAAAAATAAAAACTCCGAATGTCGTACTTCCGTCTATCATCTGTACTCAATAACTGTGTAGTTTCGTTTGTTGGGCGAACAAATGGCGTTCGATTGGGTGTGAATTCCGTAAGCAAACGATTCATCAATTATAGGAAGGATTGTGCCATACGCATTGAACCACGTTGCAGTGAAGAGAATATAAAAAAATCGAAATGTATGAAGGACAAGTTGGCAGATGCTAAGAACAAAAAGAAAGAATATCCATTTAAAAATCTTATTTACCGTCCTGAATGTTGTGTGGATATTTGCCCTGATCCCTTTCCCCGTTTTGACGATCTTTACTATAAGGAGTCGGATAAAAAAACACGCATATATATGCGAACATGGGCAAATTGTGAACCACCTCCACCACCAAAGAAACTTACTTGTCGTTTTAAAAAGACATTATTGCCACTTAACAAGCGGGAGGAGCTACCTGACGTGGCCTGTTGGCAACCATGCGAGCCTAAGGGTCCTAAGAAATGTACCAGAATCTGTTTGCCGGGCTGCAAAAAAGCTCGTCATCCATCTAAATGTTTCGTGATCAAAAAGCCGTCAGATTGCAAAAAGCGATGTACTAAATATCCTAGCTTCTCGGAATGTAAGCGTCCACCACTAAGGAAAGGACGCCCAGTTGAATGTAACTGCCTGAAAGCTGCCTCATTATGTGAGGTCTTCAATTATCTAAGAAAATTAACAGAGAGGCCAAAAGATTGAAGTCCATTCCTATTGAGTATACTCTACCGACTATGTTTTTTCCTGTGAATGATCTTGCTTTATGTAAGGTACCTGCTAGATAAATACAAATCATGCAGTTTCTATCTATGAAGTACAACTGACAGATGACTGGTTCTGCAACATGTGAGGCAATTTAGTGTAGTCAACTGACTAGGTTCTTACGTGTGACTGGTCTTGCAATACGTGAGGTACCTACTGGAAAAAAGCCAAGAAAAGATATTTTGCGAGTTTTTCGTAATGCTTAGCAAGAAAGTTCCTGGAGAAAACGTTATAAAATGCATTGTAAATTTCTTGTAACAAAATTAAACAAGTACACATAGAATATAAATCAATTTTGAAACAAACAAAAATGTTTTATTTTATTCATAAATAAATTTCACAACACATTTCGGCCCTTCTGTTCACTCATTTAAAATTCTCAATTCCGTTTTTTTATTTTAGCAGATTTTTTGGGATTTATTTAGAAAATGAATACGACACAAATTTGTTTTGCAAATTCGCTCTTGCGCAATTGGGATGTAATCTCCAATCTGAAAATACTTCCGCTTGTCTCAAGTGCCATAAAATTATATAGTATCGATTATAGAAAAAATTGTAAGATCATCGAAGGGCCTCGTTGTAGTCCGGTTGAGTTGGCTAAAACGAAATGCGGTCAAGACCTGAAAAATAATGTGATCAAAAAGCCCTATATTTTTTTGGAACTTATACGTAAGCCCGAATGTTGCTTGGAATTATGTCCCGATCCGATGCCACGATTTGACGACTTATACTATAAGGAATCAGATAAGCTTAAACGTGTATATACACGGACTTGGAAAGCTTGTACTGGGCCACTAATTAAGAAGAAACGTTTTTGCAGTTACGATAATTTGCCTGCGCTTCCATATAAAAAGCGTGATTTCAGAAACAAGCCAAAAACGGCTTGCCGAGAGGGCGATTGTACAAAGTTTCACAAAAAGTGCACTAAAATTGTTTTGCCTGGATGCAAGAATGTGCCATGTAATGTTAAATGCACTCCGGGACGTAAACCTTCGAACTGCAAAAAAAAGTGTACGCAATACCCAGCTTTTTCCGAATGTAGGAAGCCTAAATTTAGGAAACTAAGACCTGTAGAATGCAATTGTTTGAAAGATAATGCGCTTTGCGATCTCTACAATTATTTGAGGAAAAAAATTAAAAAACGCCAGAGATAATATGAATTATAAAACTGCATTAAAGATATTCGAAGTATACGAATTTCATTATATATTGCTATAGAAAGTTTAGGGGATACCTACCCACACTTTTGAAATTATTATCTAAACACAAAGATTTCTTGTTGGGTTTTACGCACTCAGTGTCGGAAAATAGATTGTTCCATGCAGATTGTTCCACTTGGAGAAAATTTTTTTACTACGCCGACTATAAATGGAAATCAAAATTAATAATTCGATTTTACAAATTTGAATTGCTTTTATAGTTGATATAGTAACAGAAAAATTGCATCAATTGTTTATCATTTCGATTCTGGATTAAATTTAAAATAGGAATACTGTGTTGTAGGTATGTTGCTCTTGATCATATTTTCTCTTAATTTGTATTAGATATTTATTTCTCTTCAATGTTCAGACATGAGCTACGAAAATGGATGGTTACACACGGCAGTGGACAATACAATTCGAGCTAACACAAATTGAAGTTCATCAGTAGCGATATAGCGTTATTTTTTTTTTGGATTAGTATATATACGGAAATGGATGGTTACACACGGCAGTGGACAATACAATTCGAACTAACAATATTTGAAGTTCATCAGTAGCGATATAGCGTTATTTTTTTTTTTGGATTAGTATATGTGCGGAAATGGATGGTTACACACGGCAGTGGACAATACAATTCGAACTAACACAAATTGAAGTTCATCAGTAGCGATATAGCGTTATTTTTTTTTTGGATTAGTATATATACGAAAATGGATGGTTACACACGGCAGTGGACAATACAATTCGAACTAACACAAATTGAAGTTCATCCAACTGAAATACACAACTGCTATGGCACAGCACTATAGTATATAATCTAATAGGATGGATCTTTTCATTTTTAAACAAAAATTTAATATTTTCACCGCTAAATTGGTGAATTGGATGATGGAGTGATCTGCTAATACTCAACAACAATTCTATCAATTTTTTTATAACGGCTCCTATGTATTTATATTCTTTTGTAGTATTACTATATATTTTCTTTACTTACGAATATTTTTAATGCAGTTTATATTGGCTCTAATAAATTCCAAAAAATAGTTAAAATATCTGACATTAATCTGTCTCTGTTGTTGTTGTAATTATTATTCATCATCATCATTTTAGCATCACAGTCCAGGATGGACCATTACCTCCTTTTCAATACGCCTCCATTCTTCTCGCATTTCGCTTTTGTATATTGTCTTCTACATTCTGTAACCATCTTCGTTGCGGTTTTCCTCTTTTTCTACTTCCCTCTGGCTTTATCTCATTCGTAGGACATGTCCATACCAGCGCAATCTTTGGGCTTTTATGTATCGGGTTATAATTCGACCTTCGTTCAAGACATTCAATTCGTCGTTATACCGTATACGATATGTGCCGTCTTCTAAGCACACCGGGCCAAATATTTCCCTGAATATTTTTCTTTCGAATCTCAGTAGCAAGTTGTTGTCGCTGAATTTAAGGACCCATATTTCGCAGCCGTAGGTAAGATCCGATCTAATGACGGTTTTATATATGCGCAATTTTTGTTACTTACATTGATTTCATAAGCTTGATATAGGCGCATATATGCTCTGTTAGCTGTTTGAATACGATCTTGTATTGGAAGAGTCGTATTTTTACTTGTGCTGAGAACTACGCCCAGATATTTAAACTCGTTTTTAGACTCGAAATTGTAACTGCCTATTCTGATGTGGCTATCTTGGGGAAAGTTGTCATGTATTTAGTTTTTCCTTTGTTTATTCTGAGGCCTGTTTGCTTTGTGACTTGATCTAGTTGTATAAAAATGTTGTAATTATTATTATTATTATAAAACTCCGGCGATTTTAGTGTGGAGTAAATCAGTTATTTATGTATTGTATTATAATTTATTTATAAGCCATCTTATTCAAAACATTTCAGAAATATATTCAATTATATTTTTTTTTGATAATCTATGTTGTCCCCTTCAAATTATTCTCCATTGACTGAAACGCACTTACGCCAGCCCTAGACCCAAAAATAGGCTTCAAAATATTTAATATAATCGTTTTTTTGGTATATCCACTAGAATTGTCCTTGATTTTTTTATCACTACTTGTTTGTAAAAACGCATGTCTTGGATTGGTTTCTTGAGTCGCTGAAGCAGGAAGAAATCACAAAGAATCATATTTGGCGAATCATATTCGGCGTCTTTTCGATGACATTTGTAGTCTTCTTGAGTAAGAACGCAATGATGTGTTCGTAAGAACGCAAATTGAAAACACACGGAAGCAGTTTTATTTTTAAGATTAAGTAGATTTACTTTAATCTAAAATTTGAAGTAAGAATTAATGACAGATCTGTCAACCTCTATGTAAAAGAGGTAATTAAATATCTATATATCTGAGTTTGCAATATCATTTACGTATCTATAATATTCAATCAACGACACATTGAAAGCCATCCATCATAACATGAAATGTTATTTACTTAATACCTGTCAGTACTCGTAGAATTCGAAATTTAAATATCTAGTTATCATTGTAAGAAGTACAAATTTCAATATAAATTTCTTTTCATTAGAAATTATTTTCAAACAGTTTCTTGAACAGATAGTTTCATTTTCGGCTCTTCGAAAATACAACTTTTTTGGCTACATTCGAAACTTCATTCGAAAATGTCAGTTCCACTACGATTAGGAACATCGCTGGCATCTAATGAGCTCCTAAAAAAAATACCAAATGTAAGTCCGATGATTCACCGGTGTTTCAACTACCGTAAGGATTGCGGTAAATTTAGAGAACCGAAATGTCATCCAAAAACTCTGAAGGAATCTAAATGCGCTAAAGACAAAGCTAAAAGAGAAGCACTAGCTAAAAAAGATGCGCTTGGATTTCCATATTATCATTTAATATATAATCCAATATGTTGTAACGAGATATGCCCTGAGCCATTTCCGCGATTCGACGACTTATATTATGTGGAATCTGATAAATTGAAACGTAAATATCCAAGAACTTGGAAGGAATGCCTTAATTATCCAGAAAAACGCAGACCAGTTTGTGATTGGCGAAAAGCAAAAGCTATTCCATATGATAAACGCGTAAGGAAACCACATGGAGAACCTTGTGATTGTGGTATTGTTATTGAAAAAGCGGAAAAGTGTAAAAAGATTGTCTCGAAAGGTTGTAAACCTGTTAAAGATCCGCCTAGCTGTGCACTGGCAAGAAAACCAACAGATTGTAAAAAAATTTGCACACAATATCCAAGCTTCTCTGAGTGCCAGAAACCTCCATTTAAGAAAGCTCGAATAGTAGAATGTGATTGCCTAAAAAGTCAATCGTTGTGCACCCTATTTCGTTTGCTGAAAAACAAGAAAAAGTACAAGAACAGAGTTACCGTTCAATAAACATGTTCCTAAAAAGGTATTTATAAATTATGTATATTTTCATATATTTAATAAAATTTATTTATTTACTAATTTCTATTGGAAACATGCAAATAGCTCGACAATATACTGCTGATGGCTTCAAAATCGATTTCCGTAGATGTTATCAACAATCGTCATAATCAACAGTATTGATGCTTGGAATACATGGACGTATTTTCAGTGGACGTTTCCGTCTGGGGTACTCTAAGATCAGGGCCGATTATGAAACTATCAAATAAATTGATTACCTACTATAGATTTTAAACTGGAGCTCTGTTAAGTGCCTGCTTTCCTTAACTTTGCTTATATTCAGTAGTCTTTTACTACAACCGAACATAAAAGGAAATTGGAGAGTAATACTTTCTATTGGCACGACAATTTTTCCAGTTTAAAAAACACTAAATTTGAAGTCACATATACAATAAAAATCAATATTTGAACAAATTAGTTTTTTTTATTAGTACTATATAAGCAAATCTATGCTATTTCATCTATGCTATTTACTCTGGAGTATAAACTTGGCTCTTATAGCTCAAGTAATAATTAATCGTTGTTTATAAGTCAACGCGTTTGAAAGTTTTAATAAACTTAATAAATATTTAGAAATAATTATTATATGAAGATATTAAAATACTGTAATTCATTGGTGTTGGTAAAATTTTTATCGGAGATCAACAATGATTTTTTGCTGTTTGTGTTAATATATACCCCTACTGGATTGTCATAGGTACAAACTCACAAGAAGGGTTTTGAATCTTATCGCTTATATAAAAACAAAATATTTTTTATTTTAAATTACAATTTTTACTTAATTAATACTAATGATTTGCGTGTATACTGCTGATGGTTCCCATATGGGTTGCCACAATATACCATAAACCCTCTTACGACAATTGTAATGACTTTCGCGATACATGTGCTTACTTTTATCAAGAGTATTTTTTCTGTAGCCTCAATGAACCCAATATGGAGTTCGAAACAGTTTTTTATTTCCACTTATTTGGTCTAAATTTTTATGTTATTATTTTTGTAATGATTTTTTTAAAAAAACAAGTACTTGGGTTTTTTTTTTGACTTTCACATCCATGTCCATAGTTACTGCATATATTAAATTTGTAATGAACCTGGTATTCCGACAAACAAAGGGCTAAGTAATGTAGAGTGTCACGGGCAATCATTGAAATTGTTGAAAGAAAATTGAGAATGAAATTAAGAGTGAGAGAAAAAACAATATGTCGATTCAAATTTCGGCATGAGAGCCGGGCTATTTGTTCCTCGGCACTTGGGCAATACAGTATTGTGAAATTATAAATGTCAGAATTTGCGCCCTGACAATGACAAGAAGCAACACAGCCTTTTTTATAAATCGGAAATAATCGAATTCTTATACTTTCCGATTTTAAGGAAAGTCGTATAACAATTTAAATTTTGACTTGCCCGTGACACTCTACATAATAAGGGCTCTATGTATATTGTGTGATATTTATCTTTCTTTTTTCTTCATTGAGAGAGAGAGGGAGAAAGAGAGACGTTGCTCGTCAAACTGCTAAGATAACAATCATCTAAAATCCCTTTTTTAATCCTTTCTCGGTAAAATTTCGAGAAACGAAACTTTTCAAAGCATTGAAACGATGAAATCATCTCATTTTGATCATTTTAATGTATTTTTTATTTCATTTATTATTTTTATTTTAATCCATATCTTTTTATTTTTTATTTTTCCAAATACTGCAAGTAAAATTTATATTTTGTACAATACTTTAGAATAATAAGAATCAGACTAGATAGCTCAGTAGTAATTCGTTAACTCGGTAACATTATAATCGCTCTCTTCTATTAGAATAAATCGTTTCTGGCATCAACCTGCCGCTAATATTAATAGGACCAATGTAGGAGTTGATCTGTGGCCATATATTATGTTATTAATAATAATTTAGTGTTAATAGTATATTTTTTTAATTATGTGTGAAGAAAAATAATTTTTAATAAGGCTTTTTATATTGCAACGTTAAAATTATTAAATATTGTTTATTACTCATTTTATGTATTTATATAAACATTTCTCTTTGATGATTTTTTTTATGGAAAGGTTAAAAGAAAAATAGTTGATAATATGGCTGAAATATATTGGTTTGAAGAACTATAAAAAAATATATATGTATTTGCTATATATATAGTCAGTATATATAAGTAGTATGAAGAAAGAAGTTATTCAATTTTAGTTATTCTCTGTTCATGTGATAAATTGTAATTTCTTTTAATATTGTCTCAAAGTCATCAATATATAGTACTTGTAGTTGTGTGTGATTAACATATATTTAATAATAAATTTAATAATTATTTAATATTTTAATAGTTAATATCATATTTTATTGTTATTGATAATCTTTCCAATTATGTGTAAATTGAAATTTGATAAATCATGGTGTCAAACATTGCCTGTAAGGCATGTAGTACGCTGTATAATTATTCCCAATTTGCGATTATGTCAAGAGATATAGACAGAATTTTATTCCAGAATTTTCTTTCTTTCTTTCTGTTCTGTGGTACCAAACGTTACACATCGTTTTTTTTATCAGAGTGGAAAACAAGTTTTTAATAGAGTGGGGAATACGTTTGTAATAGAGAATTTACTTAGAAAGTGTTTATTTTCATAATGAATCCTGCAAAAATAAAGGTATTTATATTTGCTTATTATAAAATTATACTTCATTTTTATTTAATCTATTTATTTATTTCTAACAAATGTTATCTGTATTTTGCTTATAGAGTATGAGTATTTTTTCATATATATTTATATATAAATGTGCAAATATAACTAAAAATCAGAAAAATAGCAATATATGTATATATAAAGTTTTTTTTTGCTTGGTACCCGACATGCCCATATGGTTCCCACATGGGTTGCCACAATATAAACCCTCTTACGACAATTGTAATGACTTTCGCGATACATGTGCTTACTTTCATCAAGAGTATTTTTTCTGTAGCCTCAATGAACCCAATATGGAGTTCGAAACAGTTTTTTATTTCCACTTATTTGGCCTAATTTTTATGTTATTATTTTTGTTATAATTTTTTTAAAAAAGCAAGTACTTTGGTTTTTTTTTTGACTTTCACATCCATGTCCATAGTTACTGCATATATTAAATTTGTAATGACAAACAAAGGGTTAAGTTATGTAGAGGGTCACGGGCAATCATTGAAATTGTTGAAAGAAAATTGAGAATGAAATTGAGAGCGAGAGAATAAACAATATGTCGATTCAAATATCGGCATGAGAGCCGGGCTATTTGTTCCTCGGCACTTAGGCAATACAGTATTGTGCAGTTATAAATGTCCGAATTCGCGCCCTGACAATGACAAGAAGCAACACAGCCTTTTTTATATATCGCTAATAATCGAATTCTTATACTTTCCGATTTTAAGGAAAGGCGTATAACAATTTAAATTTTGACTTGCCCGTGACACTCTACATAACAAGGGCTTTATGTATATTGTGTGATATTTATCTTTCTTTTTTCTTCATTGAGAGAGAGAGAGGGAGAGAGAGGGACGTTGCTCGTCAAACTGCTAAGATAACAATCATCTAAAATCCCTTTTTTAATCCTTTCTCGGTAAAATTTCGAGAAAGGAAACTTTTGAAAGCTTCGAAACGACGAAATCATCTGATTTTGATCATTTTAATATATTTTTTATTTCATTTATTATTTTTATTTTAATCCATATCTTTTTATTTTTTATTTTTCCAAATACTGCAAGTAAAATTTATATTTTGTACAATACTTTAGAATAATAAGAATCAGACTAGATAGCTCAGTAGTAATTCGTTAACTCGGTAAAATTATAATCACTCTCTTCTATTAGAATAAATCGTTACTGGCATCAACCTGGTCTAATATATATAGGCCCAATGTAGCAGTTGATCTGTGGCCATATATTATGTTATGAATAATAATTTAGTGTTAATAGTATATTTTTTTAATTATGTGTGAAGAATAATGATTTTTAATAAGGCTTTTTGTATTGCATCGTTAAATTTATTTTGAAAATATTTTTTAACACTCATTTTATGTATTTATATAAACTTTTCTCTTTGTTGATTTTTTTTATGGAAAGATTAATAAGAAAAATAGTTGATAATATGGCTGAAATATATTGGTTTGAAGAACTATAAAAAAATATATATGTATTTGCTATATATATAGTCAGTATATTTTAGTGGGATGAAGAAAGGAGTCCTTTTAATTTCAAAGTCAAAGTCATCAATATATAGTACTTGTAGTTGTGTGTGATTAAAATATATTTAATAATAAATTTCATAATTATTTAATATTTTAATAGTTAATATCATATTTTATTGTTATTGATAATCTTTCCAATTATGTGTAAATTGAAATTTGATAAATCATGGTGTCAAACATTGCATGTAAGGCATGTAGTACGCTGTATAATTATTCCCCCTTTGCTATTATGTCAAGAGATATAGACAGAATTTTATTCCAGAATTTTCTTTCTTTTTTTCTGTTCTGTGGTACCAAACGTTACACATCGTTTTTTTTTTATCAGAGTGGAGAATAAGTTTTTAATAGAGTGGAGAATACGTTTTTAATAGAGAATTTACTTAGAAAGTGTTTATTTTCATAATGAATCCTGCAGAAATAAAGGTATTTATATATGTTTATTATAATATTATAAAATTATACTTTTTTTATTTAATTTATTTATTTATTCCTTACAAATCTTATCTGTATTTTGCTTATAGTGTATGTGTATTTTTTCATATATATTTTTTCATATAAATGTGCAAATATAACTACAATGTACCAAAAATCAGAAAAATAGCAATATATGTATATATAAAGTTTTTTTTTGCTTGGTACCCGACATTTCCTTGTGCAAATCAAATATGGCTGCGGTTAATTTGAGGTTAAGTTTTGTTTTTTTCTTTTGTTTATAAATTTTAACGAATTTTAGTGAATAAAGTAATTTCATTGCAGAAAACTTTTATTAAAGGGAGTTTCTTAATATTAATTAAGATTAAATTTATGAAAAGATGTTTTTGGTGCAGGTGTTCTAGAAACATCTATCGAATTTCTTCCACGTGTTTCACTTATTATTTTTAGTCTTTCAACTCATGTATAGTATTTCGTCTTGATTATTAATTTATATTCATTCGTTCTGCTTATTAGTAACATATAGTTAGATTAAATTAAATAGAGTTGCTAGTAATCGAAATTTTATATATATAGGTGGATCCAAAAAAAAACTCATTTTTATTTAGAACTATATCAACGTTATTGCAATTTGTTGACAAAGTTTTAAATGAAATAAAAATTCATTCCGTAAATTATTATTATGAAAGGTGTATATTGCCGTCGCCTGGTACTTAGACACCTTGGAAATAATGATAGGTGACAAAAACGAACACTGTTTCCAATTTGCAGCTTATTGATGTAAGAGAATTTCAAGTAAATGACATAAAATTGTTTATGTTCAGTGTTGGTAGGTAACAAGGTACATGTGATAGCTCGTCTGGTATAAATAAGATCGCTCAAAGATAGAACCTATTGTGACACTATGATTTATATAGGTATATGTTTATATAGGTAAGCATGAACATATAACTCTTATAAGAGAACCTTATGCTGGACCATGCAACTATTTTGCTTAAATGAAAAAGACGTGGTTCTTAATATCAATGTTATCTTTCTCATCTGACATCGACATCAGACTTTGATACAGGCCCCTAGTCTGTCTTCATGCTTTACAATTAGACATTGTCTCGTCAAGAAAGTTAATGCTAATGTAATGAATAAAAACAGGAAATTTTCTTATTATGAGAGTTATATATATAAATATAGAGAGTTATATATATAAAAGTGTAGATTTATGTAGTCAAAATATATCTCACAATATCACAAAATTTAGTGTTACATTTTATGAATTGATATCCAAGTTATTTAATATCATACAGTTGTCAAAATATATTCGTTATTTTTTTTTAGGAGGAGGTGAAATGCTTTATGCTCTGTTAGACCGACCATCGTCGGAATGGTGTGCCAACTTACTAACATTCATATGTACTTTACGGCTTAAAAACTCCCTCTTCAGCGAGACTTATTCCTACTTTGGAGCCGCTTTCGCATTACTTCGAGGGGGTAGGGTCTCTCTTATGTTAACATTTCAAGCTATGCTCTTGTGATTTTCAGTCTGCGTCCAGACCTTCGCTCTTCACCATATTTTTCTTGGTGTCTGTACTATTTACTAATCTAGTTTCTGATTAAAAGTGTGTTCCTTAATGTAATGAATGTAGTATTAATGAAAGCTAAAGCAGTTAGAATTAATTAATTGACCTAAGAATACAGGATGATGGTTAGTATTAAACTGAGAATGTTTATTCTGTACAGTAATGAAAACAATTTCAGAGTAAACATATTTTTTTATTGATAATACAAAAACGGTGTTTATTAAATATTTAATCTATGTTATATTGTTATTAAACTTTTTAACGTTACATTTTTTTTAATTCTTCAAGGATAAAGTGGCTGTTGCATCTATGCATACTTTTGCTAAAGGCGATACTGTTCTGGCTCTCTTTGAGGATGACCTGTATTATAAGGCTAATATACTAAAAATTGCTAAAGATAAATCGTCTTGTCTAATAAAATACCAAGGTTATAACGGGATTTATCATATCACTATGAATAAAATAAAACGATTATACGTAGACTTCCAAACGCTGTTACTAAGTTGTCACAAAGGAAGAAAGGAAGAGTTTTATTTTCAAAAAGGGGATTATGTATACGCAGCTTATATTGATGGAAAGTATTATCCAGCTAAAATTGTTAAAATATTAAAGAAAACTTGTATAGTTTTATATATCGGATATGTTGATCGATTGTATGAAGTTCCATTCAGCAAAATTAAGTTAAGCATGGAGAATAGACTCATATCCAAGAATAGTAAAACATTAAGCAGTTTTGAATCTAACATCGCCATTCGCAACTCCCCAACTACTACATTGACAGTATCAAGTGATTCCACACAGGGGTATTACAAACCAGGGCAGAAGATACTAGCATATTACAATAATGAAAAGTATCCAGCTAAAATAATAAGCATATCAAAGGATAAAAAAATGTGCCTTATTGAATATAATCACTTTAAGGAAATATATGAAATCGCATTAGAAGATATTGAGCCAATCCAAGAAAAAAAATCCAAGATATTGAAGAAGAGTCTATAAAATATATAAAAAAAGCTCTCATATCCGGATTCTCAGACAATTTGAAATATATGTAGAGAATATTTGAAAGCAAGAATATGAAGTATTTCTTAAAGCAATAATTATTGTGAGTTTGAGATAATCCATATTCTAATAAAGAAGATGAAAAATTTTAGACAAATAGTTTTAATAAAGCATAGATGAAGATAAATTTGATATTAAATCTAAAACAGCTGTGTCCTTTCATGGTATTTTGGTCAATAACAATTATTGGATGTTTACAAATAATAAATCTAGTTGAATAAATTTTATAGTTATACTGATCAAGTTCAAATTAATATAACCAAAATCACTTCGGTATTTTTTTGGATGAGAAAGAAAACTATTTATAGCCAAAAATAAGTGTTTTGATTAAGGTTCTTATGCTTGAGAGAAAGAGATAATTACATTCCAATAGAAGTCTCGTATGAGTTCAAGTATTATTTCTATTTTCTAAAATTACTTATATACATAAGTGCTTACCCAAAATTTTAGGCATCAGGCAAATTTTATTTAATTTTAATATAATATCGAAAACTAATTTATTTATTAGGAAATCTCCTTTGAGAAACCATTAAATAATTTTAATAAATTATTACTATCACATGTAATTGTGAAATTAATTCTCAAAAGTACCCTGTACCTTGTGTTTAGCATCTTAAATATTATTTATTATAAATATAACAAACCGAATTTATTTAGAAAAATGTTAGTTACCATATGAAACCAAACAATATTGGATAATATGAATCTAATAGTACATTCACACTGTCTTATTTAGGCACTTGCTCATTTATATTAATAAGTGAACGTTCACATTATAATGAGCTCATTTATGAAGCTGATAGAACTTTTATAAACTTCATTGATAATACATCACCCAAAAAAATTAAATATATAATTGATTTATTAAATCATTTATATACCTTTTATATATCAATTACACATTCAATTACATAAATAAAGATTTTATTAAATACTTTCTCACTGTCTCTGTTTAAAGGTCAGCTGTTCTTTGATTACATTTTACATATAAAACATGTGACAAATATTTCAAATTTTGGTGATTTTCCTTGTGGGAAATTTATTTTTGCTTTAATGAGCTTTTTGTATGGTAAATCATCCTCATTAATGGCGATTATGAGCAAAACCGCCTAAATGAGACAGTGTGAATGTGCTATAAGGGCAATATTGGATATGTTAAAAAAATAGCGTTGTACATATTGCATTAGAACTAATGTTGAAATTTACTTGTCATAATGAAAAATCTGGTAATACTATTTAAAATTAACATTATTATGACATTTCATAAAGAAAATTTAATAAATTCTCATAAAAAATATATATCAAGAATGTGTGGTCAACATTTTTAGCTCTTCAAAATTTTTGGATTTTCAAAATTATCTCCGTTTAAATTCAAAATTTTTATAAATTTAATTGACGGTTTTGATTAATTTAGTTGGGATAAAATGTCTTTTGGTGTACGATTAGTGGCAAATATAAGAAATAGCATTCGTACCATGAGCAGATATGCAGGTCGAGATCTTAATCGTTCCAGGCAAATGAGTAAAGACATTAATAGAAGAGGTGCCCAACGAATGTCGACTGAATATGAAGATACCGAAGAAGTTCCATGTCAATGTTTACGTTCCGATTGCCCACATTGTGGTTGTATGGTCGCAGATACTTCAGATAAACACTATCAATGTACTTGGAAAGAGTTTTTAGGACCTGTGAAACCCAAACGAAATGTGTATGTTGAGCCTAAGGGAACAATGCCAATACAAAAAAGAGATAGATCAGATCGCCCAAAAACTGCTTGTATAGATCTTATAAATCGTGAAAAACGACAACTCATGAAGAGTAATAAATTTATAGTTGAAGCAAAGCAGCCTGAACCAAAGCGACCAAGAAGAGTATCAAAATCTTTTTCAGAGATGCTTCCTCCTTCTAATAAAAAAGTACGTGTAACTGAAAAGGATTATGCACGAAGCCATTCACATCAGTTTGTAAATGACTTGAGAAAAAGAATAGATCGTGCTAGTCAAAGAGGTAAATACGATAATATTGATAAATATATGAAGGAATTTATGAAAGCGTCATATTAATAATTTGCGAGTATCAGAAGGAGGATTTAGTTGGTAAGTTCATTAATAAATATATGATATATATGTATATATTTAAGTCAATACTATCTGACACATATTTATATATATCTTTAGCTTGAAATAAGTTGGGAATTTATAAATAAATAATCATTTTTGCTTACTTCAGAAAATTTTAATTTCCTCTCTTACCTTAATCTATATTTTGAGATACATTAATGGTTCAGCTTTAAATTTACTCTTGAAAGCATTTTTCATAAGTTAATTGCAAAAGGCCATACAACTCGTTCGGTTTCAATATTCTACCCATTAACTAACTAACTGCCCGTCATTTGTAGCCAAATTTGAACTGTGTGATTAAGACGTAGCACAATGACTAGTCGTCTAGATCGAAACATCTGAACTCCCGATCCGTTATATAATGTATTTTAGTTTTTAATACTAATTTTTGGAAATATATTGGTACCAGTAAAGCACAAAATATTTTCCGGTCCGTAGTACATTTTGCAGTTGAATACATAGACTTTCTGGATAATTTTTTAATCTCCTAAAAGAAGGATATATACTGCTATAAGTAAATATTAATAAAATTTATTAAAGGTATTGCTTGATTTGGTAATTTGGAATAGGTAACATTAAGTGATTATTTTTTGAAGTACACTGAAGTGTATTTCACTGAAGTAAATAGGGTATGTTAACTGATAGACACAGCTTTATTCTTATTGGAGTTATTCTGAAGTATATAAGACTTTTCATATGACTATGTAAATTTCTTTATAGGCACATTATGAGACGAATAAGGATGATATGATTTAAGAGCCTAATAGATGGATGTAGATTGGCGGTTTTGGATTTTGCTGCCAAATATAAATTTTGTAAATCCCTAATGTATGTAGATTGATGGTTTTGGATTTCGCTGTCCAGCATAAATTTTGTGAATTCAGTATTTAAAAGATCCCAGGTAGCTCAATATATATACAACGAAACTAGTTCTGATTTTTTTACCATTGTTTAATAATTAATATTTTTCTAGAAAATCGTTACATATACACACAGATTTGTTTTTACATGGACCGGTGTAAAGGATTAAAAACTTCTGCAATGATTGTACAAAATCGTATGTAAGCATATAATTTAAATACTTTAAAATAGTTTTATTTATATATGTAAATTCTTTCTAAAATCTCTAAAATATAGTTTGTGGCCTGGAGATTTTGTTAAACAGTTATTTGCTAGATTGCTTAATTAACGTCATCGTGGAAACAACAAATTGCATCTAAAGAAGTATATGTGTTTTTGTTGTAAAATGCTCGTCGATTGTACTATTTAGGCCCACTTGGACTTATACATGTGTAACCATTTAAAATCAATTTCTGTTCAGTTCATATAATTGAATGAATTGATTGATAAATGGTTACCGGATATACACGGATTGGAAATTACCTGATATACTAAAGAACGGGTTTAGTGGCTATTACTTAACTAGAAGTTTACGAAGTAAGTTATTTATTTGGTTTAATATATATCCTTTCTAATTTCTCTTTGTTTCAGATTTTGCATTGGATCAATTTTTCAGCATTGTAAGATATTTTGCAAGATATTGAATGAATTATTCAATGTTTGCCCATGGAAGTCATAACCAACCAAATACCTGAATTTTACTATAGTAAATTTTTAGATTTAATACAAAAAACTTTGAAATACAAAAACTTTTCGGCAAAAATAAATTTACAGTATACATTTTAAATAAAATAATTACAGTAGTTTTTCAATAAAATTTGTTTTTTAATAATTAATAAGGAATACTAAGATATAGGTGTAGATATAGATGTAAATGTGATAAAAGAAATATTGTGAAGTGTCAATAATTGAAGCATTATTTAAATGATAATAATGGAAACCATTTCTGCGTCCAATATTGTACAATATTTATGGTCTATAACTGTTTTTAAAGTTATATAATAGGGGTCAGATTAAGTTCTGTCTCAGGAATCTGAGACAGAATTTATATTCAATTTTTTTTACTTAGGTATTTAGCAAAACGAGGCGTTTAAGATGTTAAAATCTGATTATAAAAAAGACATTGGTTATAAGATTATATATTGTAAAAATAATAAAATCATTACCACGATTTGCTATAGGTCATGGACTAATTAAACTGAAGTCTTAAAGCCCACTTGAGCACAAATAATGGTTCATTTTGGTAAAAACAGACTGATTTTATTTGCTACAATATCATTTCACTGGATTATAATAGACTAATTATATTGGACTGGTTGACCTTGCAAAGCAAAGCTCGCTTGAGCACTAATAATGATCCGTTGTGGTTTAGATAGATCGATTGCAATTGCTACAATATTAATTTATTGGATGATGATAGAATGATTAGGTTGGAATGGTGGCTTTGCACACCAAACCTGTTAATCTGTTAAATCTGTTAAAAGATATATTGATTGCACTTGCTACAATATTAATTCACTGGGATATTATTATTAGACCGAATGAAGTAGTTGATCATTTATCGTATAAAGACTTTAAACTATTATTAAGTAATTTTCAAATCCAATTAAACTTCCATATAACGTCATCCATATGTTCGTTTGTTGTTATGTACTTGAGTCTGTGAATTGTTGGGACTGTGGTTTAGGAAGACTGAAATTATATATTTCAAATCAAAATTCTGTTAAAATTTTACCAAGTTTTTTTTCTCCAGTTCATTATCGATTTCATTACGTTATCTTTTGAGTATCATATATTATTTTTTTCCATTTCATACATTCTACGTAGGTCATAACAGTGATATAAGGTTTTGTGGTGTTAGAATTTAAGTGATCTCGAGATCAGTCTTTGAATATCGCATATAAGGTTCTGTTAAACGTTCTATGTGAAAGATTGAAAGCAATCGTTAATCAACTGATTAAACCTTATCAGTGTGGCCTTAGACCTGGCAAGTCCAGCCTAGACCAGATATTCACAGTGCGTTAAATTCTGGAAAAAACCCAAAAAAAAAAAACAATTTGTCGATTTCAAAGTTGCTTTTAACACTACGATTCTTTATGCCACTATGTTTGAATTTGATATTCCAGCAAAACTTATACGGCTATGTAAAATGACGTTAGGCAACATCACCAGCTCCGAATCGGGAAGAACCTCTCCGATACCAAACGCGGTTTCACACATGTTGACTTCTTGTCGTGTGATTACTGTAACCTAATGTTGAAAAAGATAATTTGAGTAGCAGATTTAAATCACACCGGCATAATATTCTTATGATGCTGCCTGCATATACCGATTATATTGTTATCATTGGCCTGAACAACCGCGCCATCAGTGCGGCATTTTCCAACTTAGAAGAACAAGCGAAGTAAGTGAGTCTTGTGGTAAATGACAAAACGAAGTACTTTCTGTCAACAATCTCTTGAGCATCTTGGGACCCACGTCACTATTGACAATTATAAGTTCAAATTTGTGAGAGACTTTGTTTATTTGGGAACCAATGCAAACACCAAAAATTACCTATAGATTCAACGAAGAAACTCTCTTGCCAACATATGTTACTTCAGGCTAAGTAGGCAATTAAGAAATAAAGCCCTCTCTCGAAAAACAAAAATCACGCTCCACAAATCTTTTATCTTGCGTGTCCTGCTGTATGGTGCAGATGCTTGGTTAAAAGCCATAGATGTTTTTCTGATCGGACTGACTGGCGGAGGCAACTCGACGCGATCAAGGTCGGCTCACGTTTGTAATGCCCAACTAAGTAAGTAAGTAAGTGTTATCCATAGTAACAGTAGAGGAAATAGAAAAACCCTTGCTTAAATACTACATATGTTAGTCTACATGGTCATTAGAAGAGTGATGATCGTAATTGAAAACCTCCTTTCAAAATGATTCCATATTTTAATTTCTTTCAAGTCCATATTTGAAAGTATACTCGTAGTAGGTTGCCTTGTTATCATCAATACACTGTTATGGTCCACCACCCTGTAGGTGTGCTTTAGTTTCTTTTCTGATTGCTAACAATTTTGGTTTTTTCTCGCGTTGTTTTCGCATTATACCTTCGGCTATAAATGTCACTTTCCCTCATTGGACTGAGTATTCAGCGTATTCCGTATGGGTAATATCTCTACATGAGGGTATTAATTCTAATTTCTAAATAATAAATTCAATCCAGTTATTTTCTTTTTAATTATTATCTAATTATAAATTTAGGTGTAATTAAGTTTGTGAATATATTTGCAACCCGATAAAAAGGCGACATAAATATTTCTCTTGTTATAATTTAGATATTTTAATATTTCAGATATTTTATTTATTTACCTTAGAAAAATTGAAAGGAAAAAATTTTCTTTGTTATTATAATCAATTTTTTTCTCAAAAATTGAAAAAAGGTCTTAATCTGGCAGTCAAAATTTAACAGTACAAATCCCAAAATAAAAATGCTAGCAGCTCGGCGTCTTCCTCGCATTTTAAATCTGTTTTCTAAAAACAGTTTGAAACGACCCATACTGGAATGTCTAAGACATGCTTCGGACTCAAAAAAATGCGCTAAAGTAGAAACGGTCTGTGAAGTTGAATGTGCTAAGAAAAAGTCACGAAAGAAATCCAAGAAGAGTAAAAAAGAAGAAGAAAAAACTGAGTCAGTGTGGCAACATCCTAATTTGGAATGTTGCGTCGAGAAATGTCCAGATATGCTACCTCGCTTTGACGAGCTTTACTTTACAGAATCAGATAAATCGAAACGTAAGTACTTTCAGACGTGGGTTGAATGCCCTACACCTTTAAAGAAACCTAAGGTTATTTGTAATTATGAAAGAGCAAAACTTCCACCTATGCAGAAACGGAAAAAGTCAGATTGCTTAGATACGGCACGAAAGCAGTCAGATGGTTGCTCCACTGCTGGACCAGAAAAATGCCCGAGAATAAGACTCTGTGGTTGTAGAGGTGCACGCATTCCACCAGTTTGTAAAACATGGCCAACGCCAAAAAACTGCAAGAAAAGATGTGCTCCTTTCCCTAGTTTCTCTGAATGTATGAAAGATCCTTTCTCAAAGCCACGACCTGTGGAATGTAATTGCCTGCGAAAAATAGCCTTATGTGAGTTATTAAAAAATCGTCTTAGGATGCAAAATATTAAGAAGTAATGCAGAAATATTGGAAATTCAACAACTTTGAAAAAAAATACAAAAATAATTTTTTAAACGAAATTGTTGATAGTAGAAAATCAAACAGCATTTGAAACCGAGTAAGGGGAATAAGAAAAACTCTCTGTTGCTATTTATTTGAAAGGAAAGATGCAGCAAAAGCAGTATTGGCGCCAGTACTAGTTGCTTAAGATGATCATGAAACGTCATATAATGATCACAGTCACAGATCACAGTTATAATCTTTGAATTTAGGGAGTAAGCGAAAATGATGCTTGTGAAGAAGCCTTGAGTTTACTATGGCATCAATCCATCCATCCATTGTAATGAAATTAAGACAAAATGTAGTTCTATAAATAATTCGGTACAATTAAAAATTTAAAAAAGCTGACAACAAAAATTATAAAAATAATGCACTTTTATTTTTAATAAATTTTTTGAAACTAAACAAATATTGTAACAAAAACTACTACATTTACTATAAACTGGTTGCAAAATGTTTTGATCTAGAACTAAATATTGGTATCATCGTCAGAATCCAAGTTAAAAACAACCTTTTGACGATTCAATTTTTTCGTACGACTAACATTGAATTGCACGCTCTCCTCTCCAGAACTTTTATCATCATTTGATACAAAAGGTTTCAATTGCTTAGATTTAGAATTGATTAGATTAGATACGGCGCTTATTTCAGGTTTTTTTCTTTTGTATCTATTTTTAATAGCATCGATAGAAATCACATTCTCTCCATCTTCAACGTTGCTGTTCTCTTTATTTGTGTTTTTTTTTCTTTTAAGTTTAACATTGGGCACTCTACATCGATTTCGTTCATAAGCTCGTAAGTCACGTTCCGCTTCCTTAATTTTTAGTTTTTGTTCGAGTGTTGGATCCTTGCCAGTATTGGAGAGAAATTTAGTCCCGACTTCTCTGTTAAAGGATCGCTCTGCCAAAGACATGGTCATTTTTCGGTGTGTTGAAGATTCTGTAGAGTGTGGTCTAAATGTGAATTTTTGGGTTATTTTGGCTAGAGCCTCAAAATTGCGTTGCTGTTAATACAAAAATTAATTAAAGAGATTATAATTATAAAATATTAATATTATTTTATATTTACTTGACGCGCAAAAATATATTCATAATCATCGTCTAATAGTTGCATTTTAGTGGCAATATAAATTTCATTACCCAAATGTAAAGTATAGGAATTATCAGACCAGTGTACCATGCGGGCATTAGTCTCTTTCATTTTTTCTTTTTTTTCATTTAAAGCGTATCGCCAACGGATTGTATTATTCACTTTTAACTTTATACGTTCACGGCCTTCTTCATCCGTTTTACCTGTAATCTCAATTTCATCATCATATAGTGTAGTATCAAATGGTTCACTGTCAATTGATAGTATATTGGGTAGCTTCACTTTAAACGAATCCTTTCCAAGATCTACATAAATGCGTGGAATTTTTATCTTAATATCTGCACTCTCGTCCAACTCTATCGGCTTATTTAAGCTTACTAAAGTCTGGTTTTGTTGCAATTGTTTGTTAGATCTTACAATTGAATTGTCTTCATCAGACGATATATCACTAATATCACCAAACAAATTATTTACTGATAAATTCAACTATAAGAAATATTATTATATATTATATGTCTATATAAAAATTAAGCACATATGTATATGTAAATGTGGCTTACGTTATCATTAGTATCATTATGTAGTTTGACTGAAAAATAAATAAATAAATAATATGTATATTAAAAATATATTAAAAATATTATACATTAATCATCACTACCTGCTTCGGAGGTTGTAGGTAAAATATCGGATTTGCTCTTTTTACCAATATTTTTAGTCTTTAACTTCTTTCCACAATCTATATCTGTTTCGGTGATTTTAATACGTTTGTTACCCTTTTTGACAAAAACGGCGTCTACTGGTTGTTCAATCTATATATAACGTAAAAATTATTTCGTATAAATATTTATTTAAAAGAAATTTGTCAGTTAATACATACACTTTCATTTAAGTTAATTTCATCCTTGCTGGTTACACCCAGCTCAGCTAATCCCAAAACAGTTAGTAAAATATATATTATTTAGTAAAAAAAAGTATTTAATGCTTACCTGTATTTTCACACAGGTTTGGAATCGTTTGGTTTCCCAAATCAATGTTACGATCTTCAGAGTTGTCATTGGTCTCATTTAAGTCAACAGGCGGAATAGCTGGGTTCATGTTCCAAACCATTGGGTCTCCCAAATCAATATTAAAATCTTGAGACTTTTCATTGATCTCATTTGGGTTAACAGATGAAACAACTGTTAAATTTGCTAGTACTGTCAAATCACTTTGACAATCTGTATCTATGTTAGGATTTATGGGTATTGTTATAGTTTCATTAAACGAAATAGCATTAGAATCATTCATCAAATTGCTTCTCATTAGCTCGGGCTTAAATGATTATAATTACTCAATTTATATAAATATGTTAAATTATAAAAATACCACTCACCTCATCGCTTTTACCATTATGTAGTGGAACTGCATATTAAAAATAGTTTTATGAATATACAAATACATTAGTAGGAATATATAGAATATATATAATATAGTAAACTTACTTGACATTGAATTTATTGACAAATCGATTGCCAATAATCCAGGCTATAATTAAAAAAAAATATTATTAGATATATGAATAACAGATAAGTGTATATAACATATATATACAAGGTAATACCCCGATTTGCGTCTCTAATTGGAACCGACAAAATGCGACGCAAATTTTTTGGCTTTTGAGCAGTTGTTGCTGGAGAATTATTATTTAACACATTGAATAGCGTCAAAGACAGTCTAAAATAACATATAGCCTATTGGCATTATTCTTTGATTCTGATTTTTCGCGAATCCAAACACTACCAACGCAATTCGAAGCCAAAACTTAATTTTTTTTGGCGACGCAATTTGATTCAACGCAAATCGGGGTATTAGTGTATATATATAAATCAAACTTACATTAACTTCAACTGCATTACGTGGTAGAACTGTTAAATAAAAATAATCTTATTAAAACAGTTATAAAGTAAGAATATTGTATACTAGCCTGTGATTTCTTCTTCCAATGAGCTCTTAAGTGCAATTACCTCTATTCCATTTTCCTGATTAATAGGCAAATTGTTTCCAATTATTTTAGACTTTAATTAATAGAGATTTTGTTAGATATATACATATATGAAAATTATAGTATAAATGTAGATTCAGACTCACATCGATCTCACCAATATTATGTGCTTGAACTGTTAATTTAAATAAAAAATAATAAAACATTATACAATACATATATAGTATAAGATACTTACAAGGTGTACTTATAGGTAGGGTCTTTTGTTTAATTGTCCTATAAATTTCTATCAACTCATTATCACTTTCAATGTTAGCCGAGAAAGCGTTTATGATTACTTTGGACTATAATAAGAAAAAATTTTGTTAGATATATATCTACAGAAAAATCTTATATATATGAATGAAAAAGACTTACATTGTCTTTATCTACATTAGAAGATTCAACTGTAAATTAGAATTAGTTTCAATGATATATAATCGTTAGCTTATAATATAAGCATACATACTTGATACTGTATTTGGATTTTTTTCTTCCATTTTAGTATCAAATTCTATCAAATCTTCTTCTGCACCTGTGGGTATGATTATAGCGTTACTACTTGAAGGTTTAATATACACACTCATCATTTTGTCTGTCATTAGTTCAGGCTATAATTACAATGAGATTAGTATTATTAATTTAATGCACTGAACTTCCCGGTTTATCAATCTATTATTATTAAAAACTAAGATTTTGGATATTAAATAATAATTCACGAATTACCTTCTGCTCAAAAAGTACCCGGATTGTTTGTTAACTACTCCTTAAGTAATAGACCTTTTACAAAATTTTTTTTTTATTTTTTTTTGTTATGTTGGTACACTCTTTCTTGACATATGGTACAAATTTCAGCGCCATCTGTCAATTAGTTTGTTTACAGCAGCTGTTAATGTGAGACTACCTCAAGTGCATTGGATTAAACGTTGGCATAGGTGAAATTTAAATTTGTGTTTTATTTACTAAATTCGGGTACTTTTTGAGTAGAAGGTATATTTACTTTATTACCACTGGTTTCTTCAACTGATTCAGCTAATAATTTTTATTTAGTATAATATAATTGTAATATAATTATTTTGTAATAATATATTATAATTACTTACGAGTTTATTCGGCTTTGTGTAAATTTCGGATTCATCAAAAGTTTCTGGGCTAGACAAATCATCACAAGTATCATCACTGTCAGAGTATGCAATCACGACTCTCTTCTTTTTACTTGGTTTAGTTTTATTCACAATCGATTTCTTTGATGTTTTCTTTAATTTTTTTTGCTTTTCTAATTCATTTTCGGATTTCTGATCCAATTCTTTATCATTAACCTAAGTTATAGGAATTAAATACGTTTAATACCTATATATAGTTTTATATATATGCAGATAACACTTACCAGCGTACGTATGATAGCACTTAGATCCACTATAAAGTTATAACAGTCTTAATATTAATACAAATGTTATATATGGATGGGTGTAAAATATAATTACCTGCAAATTGTTCAGAGTTTGAGTTCACATCTTCCTCTGAGTTTCCTGCCATATATACGGTTAATTTGTTTTGTAAATATTATATATGGAAGTGTATAAAACATAATTACCTTCAAATTCTTCAGAGTTTGAGTCTATATCTTCTTCAGAGTTTTCTGCCAAATATACGGTTAACTTCTTTTGTAAATGTCATATGCGAATGTGTATAAAACATAATTACCTGTAGATTCTTCAGAGCTTGAGTCCATTTCTTCTATATTCCCTGCCATATATACAGTTAACTTGTCTTGTGATTTTTATTTTTGAATAGTTGATCTCTAGTTGATATATTTGAATTTATTGGATTTTAGTATAAACATTAAGGTTATTTAGACGTAGATCAATAATCAGTGAAATGATTGACAGCCCTTTCTAGTTCTTTCTAGAAGTTGTAGAAGTGAATTGCCAAAGCATCTGATTTTGCGTCTTTGTCGTACACGATTGCCAGAAAATGGCAAGGAAATGTGGAGTAGTAAAATTAAAGGTTATTAAAAAATTCTTCCTTTATTTAATTTTTATTTCTATAAATATTTCTTTATTTATTACTTTTAAAAGCACTATAATTTTTTAATTAAGTCATGTAATGAGCAATATTCAGTAAATTAAACATATTCACAAGCGCCATTTTTAACATGGTTATAATATAGACCCTATTTCTCAATATCTTTGTCGAAAAAGTTTACTGTAAAATAATTATATATATATGTATATAGGTAAAGTTTTTTATGTAATATATTATTATTATATGAAATTACCGTTTTGTATTTTAAAAACTTTACGCATCTATACTCTAACCCTATAATCTTTAGAATGTTTAGATTATAGGTTTCAGCAATTCTATTAGAATAGAATTTGTCGTTGTTTAGTAGCCTTTCTTACTAAAATATATTATATATCTTGCAGATAACACGTGGTAACACTGATTTACTAGAAGTCACTTTATAAACACTTGAAAAAACAATAGTGACGTCGATTTTAAAGAATATAAAATCGACGTCACTACTTGCGAGTTTAAAATAAAAATTAAAATGTTTACCAATTATTGTTTATATGTATTATTGTGTTCAATAATTATATATAAAAATTTAATTTATGCAAACTCTGATATAATAATTACTAATAGAATTATTAAGTGAATCGATGATATGTTAGACTATCTAAAATCCACAGATTAACAGCACGAACTTATACACAAAATCACAGCTAAAAAAAGTAATACTAATATCATTGAGAATGACAATGCTACCAACATTTTTTCTTCAGATTTCTTATTGAAAATATCAAATATCAATAGGAAAGGATACATGTATATATATGGTATATGGTATGGTATATAAGATAGTATAAACATATTCTTTGTACCAAAAATCTTACTTTTACCAATATCAAGAATAATACATTGGATTATATATATATATATATATTATATATATTATATATTATATATATATATATATATATATATGGCGGATATGGCAACTGCAAATATTTAATAACATATGACACACAAAAGGCCCAATAGCAACGTTGTTACTTCGCATGCAAATGGTATAAAAGCCGAACACCTCGACAGTTAAGCTATAGTGGGATAAAGCAACTCCAGAATTGGTGACCCCGATCCACATAAAATCAAAGCTGGTAAATGAATACCGTGATTTAGGCAAATGAGTTTAGTTACTAAGGTTGAACATTGCATTGAGACATTTCGCGCACCGTCATTTGCTCGTCCGCGACGTTTAGTTGGAGCCAAACTTGAAGAAGCCAAGAAGGAATTACAATTTTTAGTCCAGACAGGGATTTGTCAACCTTCGAAAAGCTGTTGGACAAGCCCGCTTCACATGGTTCGCAAAAGCGATGGAAGTTAGAGACCGTGCGGCGATTATCGCATACTCAACGCGCAATCTAAATCTGACCGGTATCCGTTTATTCATGATGTGACGAGTATTCTTCATGGTAAAACTGTGTTTTCGAAGATTGATTTGCAGAGAGCGTATCATCAGATACTGCTCGCACCAGCATACATCCCGAAGACAGCTATTACAACTCCATTTGGCCTGTTTGAGTTTCGATTTATGACTTTTGGCACGTTTTTAGTACGAAGGGTTTACGTTCTCTGGAGAGCAAAGTTCAAGCTGTTCGTGATTTTCCTCTGCCATCGACAGTTAAACAGCTTAGACAATTTTTAGGCATGGTGAACTTTTATCGACCGTTTTTGCGTAACGCTGTGCAGAATCAACAGCAGTTGTTTCATCTTACGCCTGGTAATCGTAAGAATGATAAGTCGGTGATTTGTTGAACTCTGGAAGATATAGCCGTTTTTGAGGCATGCAAGAATGATCTTATCCAAGCTACTTTGCTTAACTTTATGGCCCTGGATGCACAATTGACGCTCACGACTGATGCTTCAGACGTTGCGGTGAGTGCTGTTCTGCAACAAATGATAAAAGGAGTGACTCACCCGTTGGCATTTTATTCAAAAGGTTTGAGTCCAGCGCAGACTAAGTACAGTGCTTATGATCGTAAGTTGACCGCTCTCTATAAAGCGGTCCAGCATTTCAAGTATGCTTTTGAGGGACGTGATTTCGTCATTTTTACGGATCACAAACCATTAACGTTTGCGTTCAGGCACATTAGTAAGAACGCATCACCTCGTCGTACTAGGCAGCTGAAGTTTATTAGTCAGTATTGCGCTGATATTCGTCATCTGGCTGGTGCAGATAATACGATGGCTGACTCTTTGTCTCAGGTTTCAACGGTTCAGCTGGAGGCAAATGAGATTAAGTTGATTGCTGAGGGGCAGAAGGCTGATGCAGAGTTGCTCACTCAGCTGCAGAGCCAGTCTGAGGATGGCGTTGGGTTAAAGAAAATTCGGATATTGAATTGTTCTGCGATGTGTCACGCAGTCGTGTTCGGCCTTTTGTTTCCGCAAACTGTCGGCAACTAGTGCTTACAAAACTCCACGCTTTGACTCATCGTGGTATTAGAGCAATGCGGAAGTTGATGCAGGCTAGGTATGCTTGGCTTGGGTTGAGTAGAGATGTGGCAGTGTTTTTGCGTAGTTGCATCGCATGTCAAAAGTCTAAGATCTAGCGGCATACTATAACACCAATTGGTTCATTTGCTGATGTTGATAGTTGGTTCCAGCATGTTAATGTTGGCATTGTGGGCCCATTGCCTTTGTCTCAGGGGAAGTGTTATTGTTTGACTTGCGTCGATCGTTTTTCTCGGTGCTTGTTGCTGTGCCTCTGGCAGTTATTACGGTAGAGGAAGTTGCAGCGGTTTTTATCGACGATTGGGTGGCAAGTTTTGGTTTTGCGGAGGCTATTGCCACTGATTTAGGTCGGCAGTTTGAGTCTACTGTATTTCGGGAACTAATGAGATTGCTTGGAGTGAAGCATTTTCATACCACGGCTTATCACCCTCAAGCAAACGGCATGGTAGAGCGTTTCCATAGGACATTGAAGGCGGCCATCTGGTGTTATTCCTCAAGCAATTGAACACAGTTTCTTCCACTGTTGGGATTGTTGGGATTGCGAACGACACCGAAGTTAGATCTAAATGCTAGTCCTTCAGAGATGTTGTTTGGAAATCCTTTTTGTGTTCCGTGGCAGATGCTTTCGGATTTCAAGCAGAAACCGCCGGAGACTAATTTCGTTTCGTCGTTGCGAAGGTCGCTAGAGAAGGTTAAGCCCGTTGAATCAACCAGGCACTGACATCCATCTCTGTATGTTCCGTGTGACGTTATCAATTGTAGGCACGTTTTTCTTCGAGTGAATCGTGCGCGATCTCCACTTGAGGTGCTGAGACGTAGTGAGAAAACGTCGGTCATTGTTTGCCGCGGAAGAGAGGTGACGGTTTCGAATGTTAGGTTGAAAGCGGCATACATAACTTGTGATGACATTGAATAGGTCGTTCCAAAAACGCGTCAGCCTACAGCGCTGCTAGATGGTGGTCAGCCAGTGAATGCTTGCGATGTCATAAAATTGTCCAAGTGAATGCGGAACGGCAAGGGACGACAAAAATAAAAATGAGGAGGTGTCTGCAGGTTAATCTTCAACACGCCAAAGCTGCTATGGCGGTTTTAATACAGCGCCTCATATCTAAAAAAATTGACCTGCCTTTATCCAGGAGCCATATGTCTATGAGAAACAGATACAGGGACTGAAAGGTAAGTTACTCTACAACCAGTCATGCCAGCCATGGTTGACATCGTGCTTGTATTTTGATAAGTGATGTTATTAATGCTTTCATTATTCCACAGCACACCAATAAAAACCAGGTTCAGCTATTATATCTGTGGACACTTAGTAAGTACGACAGAGCACATTGTTTGCTCATCTTACCTACCTGGAGACTCCCACGACCAGGACTTCTTCTTATCATTGAAAGCACTGGTGGGCTACTGTATAAAAACAAGAAGCAAAGTATCTCAGTTCAGTTAAGAGTGCGGAAACATAGTCGTTCATGCTGAAAAATCAGTCCATCAAACAAGTAAACACTTTGTTACCTCGGTAGCATTATTACAGCTGATGGTGGTGCAGCAAGCTCTGTTGACAGCAAAATACAGAAGACTAGAGTGAATTTTGGAAACTTTTGAGGTATATGGAAGTCAAATGAACTCTCACCATTAACTACAATACATGCTTATAATGCGTGCATGAAGTCTATACTACTGTATGAAACTGAAACCGGGCTGACTAATTTTATAACACCAAAAGCTATTTTCAAGGAAATACAAAACTTAGCTTTAACCAAAGAGAGTTGGAGATGTTACATCAATATTCAATTGATTGGACATTATATGTATTTATATTAATCGATTAAGAATTTGTACATGTTTAAGCCAAGCGCTATACTAGCAAGTTTTTGACAAAATATTTTTTGGTTATGCTTTCAATTTTTTGCAAAGATAATTAACTTGCCAAAAACTTAAAATGAAAATTCCTTCACAATTTTCCGGCAAGTTTTATGTAAGTTTTAAAAATTTATACGTGTATAGAAACAAATGAAAACAAAATTATTAGTTAATAAAAAAAAATTTAATTAATAAATTTTTATTATTAATAAACATTATTTATTTTATTAATATAATTCATGAGTACTCCATGTAAACTAAGAACTATGTTTTTATACTAAATTTGAGATTTGATAAAAAAATTTTTATTGGTTCAACCTGTTGATCGTTTTAAATTTTAGGAAATCCTGTAACTCGTCAAAAGTCTATACCATTGTACGATTTGTGACAACTTTTTTAAGGTAATTTCTATAGCATTTTATTAAAATTATCACAATTTGAACTATTTTATAGTAAAATAATGAGTGCCCAAGGAATGAAGTCAATATTCTTAAAAGTAATTCTTGTTGACTCCTTTTACTATTTAATTGAGATGAACGAAGAGGACAAAATTTTTTTAGATGCTGTTAGGCGTGAGATGTTGGCAAGTGGGGATGTAAAGTTCTGTGAATATGATCTCTTCTCTAATACGAATAAAATCACTTTATTTGGAGAGACTAATTACCCTGGTACTATTATTATATTAATGCAAACTGCTCTAAAGAACATTTATGATTTATGCCATGGCTATGGATCTTTGCCGAGTTCTAATAGGAAGATGCAAGTAATAAATTTGACTAAAAAAGATATTTGGCAAGACAATAAGGTCTAATGGGGCTGTAATATATGTTTGGATCTAAAGAAAAAATTGTATTACATCATTGCGCAAATACACTTGATATAGAAATAAATAATTTCTTTAATTTCTTGATATTCAGAAATTCGTATATAAAGACATGTTTATACATGTTTTATGTTAAGATTAATGACGTGGCCACGATTGTTTGCATAGAATGGCCCTTACAATTATCGAATCTTTTTACAAAATTTTGTTTAGAGGAGTGAATTCTGTATACGAAATTATAAATATTGCGTATTTGTCGCGTTAGAGCTATCCATTGTGTGGTTCCGTACGTACACTTGTATTT